TTATTGCCACGTACAAGTACAGTTATAGGTTTTATAAATTATAACAATTTGTCAATATGTAAAATTACATATATTGTTTATATAATATCTAGTTTCCTATAACATTTTATTAAAAATATACTTCATCTCTCACTCTTTTGTGATGAGATTTTAGAAAGACAGTTCTCTGCTTTTAAGACTTTTCTTTTTTATCTCTTTTCATATTACACTAACCATCAAATCATAGATCTTAAAAGTAATAAAATTAAAAAGTTAAAAGAGTAGTCCTGGACATCATAGCCTGAAACTTACTGTAGTGATAAACTGGGAAGATTAGCCTCCTGTTGGTACTGGCAACTGACTAAATGGAACTGGAGGCTTTTTTGAGAGGAACACTATTTTCCATGGCTGCTCTGAGAATTCAGTAAGACACTGAACAATTATTACTCAAAAGTCTAGCTATACAGCAGAGTGGTAATCCTTGCAGTATGTCCCCAGGACCACTGTTACTTCCTGGCTAGTCCTACTTGTGATTAGTACTTGCAGCACCACCTAGTGGATGCATGATGGTCACCTTTCCTGTTTCAGTCAATTTAGGCACTTTTGTTAAGTCTCATTTGAAATGGGAGTAGTACAGACTGATGTTCATTGTGAATACTAATACTGAGATTAGAAAAATCTCCTCAAATAATTCAAACTATGCTGTTCCTCACCATTCTTGTTTTTATTCCATTTCGTATAGGTAAACGTTTTTGAAAAAGGAACCATTTCCTGTGGGTTCCTTCTGCTCGTTCTATACATGCCATTAAGTTCTACTAATTAACTATCCATATCCTATTCTCTTTCACTGTGGCACAAGAATGATCTTGTTGGATGCTATGGTAGTCTCTTCATAGTAGCTTTTTATTGTTTAGGGATGCATTTTTGTCATCCTTTCTTGAATCTGTTTATGGAGTGGTTTGTGGCTAAGATGGAAAAATAAATTGTCATCCTAGGTTTTTATTTGGATGTATACTTTTTATCCTAATAAAAAGATAGATATATATATTTTAAAGGATGCTGTTTTCAAGGACATTCTCCTCTTATTCCAGTTGTAACAGTGAGACCAGAAGCACTGTGTAAGGCTAATTTAAAAATTTTTAAATCTGGTTAGCAGGTATGATGGATAAACAAAAAGTATATTACTTAGTCTTTTTTACCCTACAGTTTTAGAAGGATCTTGTTCTCTCAGATAGACACTTTTAAGGGAAAAATAAAAACATTTATTGGAAGCTAACGTTTGCAATTGATATGGCTTTTATTTCAAATGACTTACATGAAGAATTTCATTATTTGATCATTTTATTTTTGTATAGATTGTTGTAAAAACTTTTGTGGGTTTGGACCAGGACTCTGAAGAAAAATAAAGATTTTTTAAAACATAGCTTAACACTTGCTTGAGACTTTTTCTCAAGCATCCTGATAAAGATGTTTACCTACCAGTAGCCTGTTTGCCTTGCTGATATTTTCAGGATTTATGTCCATGAAGCTTTTTATACATCCCCTGATAAACTAAAGGCAAGTAGTGATGTAAAGAACTGTCAAGCCCTGGCTGGTGTGACTCAGTGGATAGAGTGTTGGCCCAAGCACTAAAGGGTCATGGGTTCAGTTCCCATTCAAGAGCATGTATCTGAGTTGCAGGTTCAATTGTCAGCCCTGGAGGCAACCAATTGATGTGTCTCTCTCACACTGATGTTTCTGTCTGTCTGTCTCCCTCTCTCTCCCGCTCCTTTCCTTCCACTCTCTCTAAAATTCAATGGAAAAAAATATCCTCAGCTGAGGATAAACAAAAAACAAACAAAAGAACTGTGAATATTAACTGATCCTTTTATTTATTTTTCTAAGACTTAAAGCATTTAGGTAATTCATTTGGATTCTTTAACATTAACTGCAACAACTTTGATTAAACTTCTCTTTTCTTTAGACCTTACTTTCTCCCCACAAATTCAACCCCAATTTATTACTTTTAAAAAACAATTTTTGATCTTCAGATTATTTTATACTTTTTATGTCATCATCAACTCTGTTGCAGTATCACTGGGAAGACACTTCCTTTTCCCTTTTGAAAATCCATATTAAAGACCTTGTATCTAGGATAAACCTGAATTTATTCTAACTTATTTAACTGAAGGTGTGATGTGAATTGTTTTAAAATAAACAAAATGAACAAAATTTTAATGAAAATGTATAAAAGACAACCAGTACTTAGTTATGTTTCTGTAGTCAGCTGGAACACAGGTAGTTAGTGGCAGGGTGAGTGCGGGACAGCTGGCAACTTTGGATGGGTGGACTATGCAGGGGCTGTGCAGAGGATGTGGGTGAGCTAGAATCCAGGCATGCCAGAATCCAGGGGTGCCCCATAGACTCCAACGGTCTCCCCTGGATGTGCAGGCACCATGTCAGATGTGTAAGCACCATGTCCTGCATCTGGAGGCAGGCTGAAGGCTGTGGCATCTCCAGGCTTCCTGACAATGGATCTTGCAGTCCCCCCACAACTGACCCTGATACCATAGTCAGTTAGGGAGCATCAAGGAATCTCCCCCATTGGTCAAGAAGGTACAGGGGGAGGTTCTTACACTGAGCACACAAAAAGCTAGAAAAATAAATGAATAGGGCCTGAGCATGCCAAAACCTAGAAAAGTGAGTGGACAGGACCCAAGCACACTGAATACTAGCAAGATAATTGGATAGAAGAAAAAGGCCTCCCCTCCCTATCCCTATAAAAACTGTGAGCTTGAGTAGGAAGGAGGGATAGTCTTTGAGATGAGAGCCCACAATTTTCCCAGGTCATGGCACCTGAACAAACGACTTTCCTTTTGCATAAGCACCTGTCTCATGAGTTTGGCTTTCATGGCAGCAGGCAGCCAAACCTGAGTTTTTGGTTATAGTTTTTGGCAACCATGAAAGGACAGGGTGGACTTTGTAAGTCCCAGAGGGCCCAGGCTGGGGTCCTGGCTGCCTGTGGCAGGCTGAACCTAGGCGCAAGACTGTAAGGACTTCCCAGCAGCTGCTGAGAACTTTTCTCAGGAAATTACCCTGCATCCCTTCTCAAGGTGTAAGCCACCTGAAATACTTGGCTGGCAAAAGAAAATGGGTTTCTGGGGAGCAGACAGACTCCAAGACTGTACAGTAAGTTGACCTGGCATATACACTAGGGCTCCTCTATTTCTGATGCTTGGGCTTTGGGCCACTTGGGCTTTGTGACAGTTGGGCTTTGTTACACTTGAGTCTAGTTAGGAGCCTCTGTGGTATCAGTTGGCAGGTTATCCCTGCCAGTTGGGCTGTGTGCCACTTGGGCTTTGTGCCATTAGGGACTTGTGCCACTTGGGCTTTGTGCCATTTTGGTCCTGTCAGGTCTGCTTGTGGTATTAGTTGGCAGGAGATAAGATGTTAAGACTTGCTTGTGAGCACTTCTTTGGACTAATTGATTTATGAATCTAAGTTTTGTTCATATGCTCCCACTTTGTCTGTTGGCATCTGGAATTGTGTAGCAGTTCTGTATCTCTACCTCCTTTCCACTTTCACCCACCTCCAAGTATATAAAGGCTCTAAATCTGTCTTCTTGAAAAAAGTGAGAAAGCTTTTTCTAATTACGTGTTACACTTTTCTGAATTTTACTGAAGGATGATTTTTATTGTATATAAAAATTAGCCCAGTATATGAAATGTATAATAAAAACATGTACTTTAAAAAGTAACATACTTTAGAAAACAATACATTAGTAAATATCAATTTTTGTTTCCGTCTATGGCCTTAAATAATTTTAAGCCCACAGTGATTTAGAAAAAATGAAACTGATTTATAAGTTGTTTTGGATGGGTAGTTTTCAAAAGCTGGAGAATAAAATTATGTGATTTATCTTAATAGCTTTAAGATTGGTAGACATTTCTAAGTGTTGTTTTTTTTTTTTATGCTCACCCAAGTACATTTTTTCCCCATTTTTTTGTTCAGATAGAGTGGGAGGGAGAGAGAGGAAGAGAGAGAGAGAGAGAGAGAGAGAAACATCGACGTGAAAGGGACACATCGAGTCGCTGCCACCCACATGACCAACCAGGGCGGGGGACAAACTGCAACCGAGGTACATGCCCTTAGTGGGAACCAAACCCGGGTCTCTCTGGACCGCAGGCCGACGCTCTAACCGCTGAGCCAAACCGAACCAGCCAGGGCTCTAAGTGGTTTTTTTTTGGGTAAGTTTTGTGAGTGTGGGTGTTGGCTAGAGTAAATTGGTTAGATTGAGAGGACTGAGTTTTTTCCTTTATTGATTTGATGGCAGCTAAGCATTCTATCTTCATGGCTAATTAGATACACTAGGTGAGCTCCTCCTGGTGGTTATTTATTTAAATTGACATTGCCAAACCAAATGTTTTTTAAAGGAATACTTTTTTTGATGCTTTTTTTTTGGCATAAAAATAAAAAAAATAACACTGTATCATGTTGATATCTTCTCTAGGATTTGGTAACGAAAAAAATGGTTCAAGATAGAGTGGTGGTATTTGTTGGAGCTAAGTGATTAGATTCATTGTATAATTCTCTCAAAATTTGTTATGTTTGAAAATATTTATAGTAAAAGTTAAAATAAAGATAAAAGTACCAAAAAATAACTTTTAGAAATTACAAATAAATCAAGGTAAAAACATTTTTATCGCTTATATTTCATATTAATTTCATGCTCTTAGTTCCTGCCTAATGAAATAGAATCCCCTGCCTATACATTCTTGTTATATATTTATCAGAAGCAGGGGGCAAGAAGCACAAAATTAGTAAAATGGTCTAAGCACCTTTTTTTAAAAAAAAAATTTACCTTTATTGTTGTACAACAGATGTACCCTATTCCCCCCGACCCCCATTACTTCCCTCTTGCTGGTTTCCACCCTGCCCCAGGCCTTTACCACCCGATCGTCTGTGTCCGTGGGCTATGCATATATGTGTGTAAGTTCTTTGGTTAGTCTCTTTCTGCCCCCCTCCCAACCCCTATCTACTGAGATTTGTCAGTCTGATCAATATTTCCATGCCCCGCTTTCTAATTTATTCATCAGTTTATTTTGTTCACTATTTTTTTTTTTTAGCAATAATCGCGCCTCGGATAAACCTCATTGGCTACGATACTGCCACTGCGCAAAGCTTGTTCACCAGATTTCACATATAAGTGAGATCATGTGATACTTGTCTTTCTCTGACTGGCTTATTTTGATTAGCATAATACTCTCCAGGTCTCTCCATGCTGTCTCAAAGGGTAATAGATATTCTTTTTTTTTATAGCTGCATAGTATTCCATTGTGTAAATGTACTACAGCTTTTTTATTCACTCATCTACTGATGGGCATTTGGATTGTTTCCAGATCTTAGTTATTGTGAACAGTGCTACTATGAACATAGGTGTGCATATATTCTTTCTCATCAGTGTTTCAGCATTCTTAGGATATATTCCCAGAAGTGGGATCATTGGGTCAAATGGCAGTTCCATTTTTAATTTTTTGAGGAAACTCCATACTGTTTTCCATAGTGGCTGCACCAGTCTATATTCCCACCAGCAGTGTATTAGGGTTCCCTTTTCTCCACATCCTCACCAGCACTCATTTGTTGATAGCCAATCTGGCAGGTGTGAAGTGGTACCTCATTGTCACTTGAATTTTCATCTCTCTGATGATTAGTGACTTAGAGCACTTTTTCATATATCTCTTGGCCATCTGTATGTCCTCCTTGGAGAACTGTCTATTTAGGTCCTTTGCTCTTTTTTTTTTTTTAATTAATTAATTAATTTTTGTTACAGATATTTTTCCTTTCCCCCCACTGATTCCTCTCTCCTCCACCCTCCCTGCCCTGTCCCCAGCTTTGTTGTCCATGTCCTTTGTTCATGCACACATGTATATAAGTTCTGAGGTTTATCTCTCCCCCCCCACCTCCTCTTCTGGGGATAGTCAATCTATACCCCACTTCCATGTCTCTGGGACTACCCCATTCCTCAGACTGTTATGTTCATTATATTCCATAAATCAGTGAGATCATATGATATTTGCCTTTCTTTCTCTGATTGGCTTGTTTTGCTTAGGATAATACAGGTCCCTCCATGTCATCTCAAAGGATAAGAGATCTTTCTTTCTTACAGCTGCATAGTACTCCATTGTGTATATGTACCACTGCTTTTTTATCCATTTGTCTATTGATGGACATTTGGGCTGTTTCCAGATCTTAGTTATTGTAAATAGTGCTACTACAAACAAGGGGGTACATATATTCTTTCTGATTGGTGTTTCAGGCTTCTTAGGGTATATTCCTAGAAGTGGGATCACTGGGTCAAATGGAAGTTCAATTTTTAATTTTTCGAGGTAACACCATATTGTTTTCCACAGTGGCTGCACCAGTCTGCATTCCCACCAGCAGTGTACTAGAGTCCCCTTTTCTCCACACCCTCGCCAACACTTGTTGTTTGATGATTTGTTGATGGCAGCCATTCTGACGGATGTGAAGTGATACCTCATTGTTGTTTTAATTTGCATCCCTCTGGTGATTAGTGATGTTGAGCATTTCTTCATATGTCATTTGTATGTCCTGATTGGAGAGGTGTCTATTTAGTTCCTCTGTCCATTTTTTAATTGGGTTCTTTGTCTTCCTTTTGTTGAGTTGTATGAGCACTCTATATATTTTGGAAACTAACCCCTTATCTGATGTATTGTTGGCAATTATGTTCTCCTATAGAGTGGGTTGCCTTTCCATTTTTGTGGTTGTTTCTTTTGCTGTGCAGAAGCTTTTGAGTTTGAACATAGATGCCAAAATCCTGAACAAAATACTAGCAAATCGAATCCAGCAATACATCAAAAAAATTATTCACCATGACCAAGTGGGATTCATCCCAGGGATACAAGGCTGGTACAATATTCGCAAATCAATAAATGTGATACACCATATAAACAAAATGAAAGATAAAAATCATATGATCATATCAATAGACGCTGAAAAAACATTCGACAAAATCCAGCACCCATTTCTGATAAAAAGGCTCAGCAATCTGGGAAAAGAGGGATCATATCTCGACATAATAAAGGCCATATATGAAAGACCTACAGCCAACATCATACTCAACGGGCAAAAACTAAAAGCATTTCCCTTAAGAACAGGAACAAGACAAGGATGCCCACTTTCGCCACCCTTATTTAACATAGTACTGGAAGTCTTAGCCTTTGCTCATTTTTTAATTGGACTGTTTGTCTTTCTTTTGTTGAATTGTATGAGTTCTTTATATATTTTGGAAATTAACCCCTTTTCTGATATATCATTGGCAAATATGTTCTCCCACACAGTGGGTTCCCTTTGCATTTTGAGGATTGTTTCTTTTGCTGTTAAGAAGTTTTTTAGTTTGCTATAGCCCCATTATTTTTTCTCTGTTTCTCTTGCTTTAGGACAGCGGTTCTCAACCTGTGGGTCGTGACCCATTTGGGGGTTGAACGACTCTTTCACAGTGGTTGCCTAAAACCACTGGAAAACACATATTTCCGATGGTCTTAGGAACTGAGACACTGCTCCTCAATCTATCTCCAGGCAGGTCCGCCCACATGCAAATATGCCCACATACAACGTGAGGAACTGTATTAAAGTGTTGTGGCATTAGGAAGATTGAGAACCACTGCCCTAGGAGATGTATCTGTGAAAATATTGCTACATGAGATGTCTAAGATTTTTCTGCCTATATTTTATTCTAATACTTTTATGGTTTAATAAGTTACAATGAAGTCTTTTTATCCATTTTGAGTTTATTATTGTGTATGGTGTAAGTTGATGGTTTAGTTCCTTTTTTTTTGCATGTACCCATCCAATTTTCCCAACACCATTTATTGAAGAGACTGTTTTTAATCCATTGTATGCACTTGCCTTTGTTAAATATTAATTGAGCATAATGGCCTGGGTCAATTTCTTGGTTCTCTGTTCTGTTTCACTGTTCTATATGTCTGTTCTTGTACAAGTACCAGGCTGTTTTGATTACAATACCTTTATAATATAATTTGAAATCTGGTATTGTGATTCTTCTTTGTTGTTCTTTCTCAAGATTGCTGCAGCTATTTGGAATCTTTCTTGGTTCCCTATATATTTTTGGATTATTTGTTCCAGATCTGTGAAATATGCCATTAATTTTAATAGGAATTGTGTTGAATCTATACATTGTTATGGGTATGGACATTTTAATGATGTTAATTCTTCCAATCCATGAACATGTAATATGCTTCCACTTGTTTGTATCTTCCTCTGTTTCTTTATTCAATGTCCTATAGTTTTCTGAGTACAGGTCCTTTATCTCCTTGGTTAAGTTTATTCCAATATATCTTATTTGGTTGTTGTTGTAATAGTAAAATGTATTTTATTTTATTTTTTTTAGTTTCTCTTTCAGAGAGATCATTATTGGTTTATAAAAATGCCATTGATTTCTGGGTGTCAATTTTGTATACTGCTACATTGCCAAATTCATTTATTAACTCTAGTAGTTTCCCGGTGGATTGCATAGGGTCTTCTATGTATAATGTAATGCCATCTGCGAAAAATGACAGTTTTACTTCCTCCTTTCAAATTTTCAGGCCATCTATATTTTCTTCTTGTCTTATTGCTGTGGTTAGTATTTGCAGTACTATGTTGAATAAGAGTAGTGAAAGAGGACATCCATGTTTGTTACTGATCTTAAGGGAAACACTTTTATTGTTTGCTTACTGAGTATAATGTTGGCTGTGAGTTTGTAATGCTGATGTAGTTCCCATTTGTTCCTCGTAACTCTCAGTAAGTTCCTTGTCATTCCTACTAAGTTCCTTGAACATCTTTATAACCATTACACTATACTCTTATCTGATAACTTGCTTATATCCAAGTTATCTATGTATTAGATATACTTGCTATGACTCCCAGTTTTTGTGGGGTGGGCTTTTATAGTAAATGTCCTGTGGGACCTAGTAGTGCAGTCTCCTTGTACTCCTTGTATGCTCTAGGAGCGATCCTTTTGTTGGTTGGTTGGGCTCTCCTTTTGTAATTGGATTTTGTTTGTTGCTGTCCTATTCATGGGTGGGCTCTTCTCTCAGGCTGGCTAACTGGAAGGTCCAGACACAACCACTTCATGTGAGCTGCTGTACAGGTGCTGACAGGGCAAAACAAATCAAAACCAAACAAAAAGGAAACAAACAGGAACATACAAAAGATCCTGACAACAACCACAAAAACAACCACAAAAGAAAAGAGAATTAGGAATAAGAAAAGAGAACAAGAATAATAAACAAACAAAACAAAAAAAAAGAGAGAGAAAACAGTAACATTACTAATAGTAAAACAAAAAATAAAGAGGACATTGGAAGAGAAAAGGGGCAGAAAGAAGATTCTGAAAGGGAGATAAAAAAAAAATAAAAAGAAGAGAGTAGGAAAAGGAAAATGGTATAAAAAGTAAAGACAGTCCTGACCGGTTTGGCTCAGTGGTTTGAGCGTTGCTGTGCGAACCAGAGAGTCCCAGGTTTGGTTCCCGCTAAGGGCATGTACCTCAGTTGCAGTTTGTCCTTGGTCCTGGTTGAAGATAAATGCAAAAATGTCCTCGGGTGAGGATTAAAAAAAAAAAAAAAGACAGAAAAAGAAAGAAAAAAAAGGTTACGCAAAGATAAAAAGAGAAAGAGGTAAAGCAAAAGAAAAAATGGAAAAGAAAAGATAGAGTAATAAAAGAAAGATGGCCTATAAGAGATATGAGAGAAACTTGAGTGAAAAGAGCAAAAACATTAACAATAACAACAATACAGAAGAAAATGTTGAGAAAAGAACAACAAAGAAAGCCAGCTAAGTGAAGTTTGTCTAGGCAGATTATGTGTCTGAGGCTCATTGTTTTGTATGTTGATTTCAGGCCTCCTGGGAAGTACTTTTGTGTCAGCCAATGTCAGGTGCTATCCAAGTTTGGCTCTTGGTGTCCTGTTGTAGCTGTGGCCAGTCTGAGACTCTCTGAGGAACTCCACCACCTGTTAGGTACTCTGCTTCTCCCAAGGTTTTCTGGTCTTCCTCCAGTTTCTTCTGAAGAGAGTATTTATCATGGAGCCAGGTTTGTGTAGCTATGGCATGTGGGCCCCCTGCTTAGATATTATGCAGTCAGGCACTCAATGAGGGGAAATTAATC